TGTGGAGAAAGATACACTAGAGTCATGTGGGGAAGTAGATAATGTTGCACTTGAAGACTCTAGTGTATGTACATATGAGGATGTGAATAGCGATATTATTTTAGAATTGGGGCGTATTGGTCCTCATTCCATACATTTTTAAACATTGTGTTAGGATGATGACATGGAAATCGAGTCATCTGAGCCATTGGAGGAGTCAAGGAACAAGGTGCTTATATTCTTGAATTTGTCGTGCCAGAGAGACATAATTACATTACTCGTCTAAAGGCCGAAAAGTGTAGAGTAAAAAATTTATTACTTAGACTGACTATCTTTGTAGCCCCACCAAAAGAGCATAACAGAAAACTTGAAGCCAAATTAGAGGTTCAATTCATATGTTCGGGGTGGAGGCAAAAAGTGGTTCACGCCGTACCGCATTATTAAATTAGGCGCTTGTTGGGAGACAACCCCACTTTACTGTTTCCTTTTGTTTTTGTTTGTTTTTTTATTATTATTTTGTAGTGTTGTTTTGATTTTGTAGGATTACAAGCATAGAAGACAAGCTACTGGAAGTGTGCAAAAGCGAGCCAGATGGTTGGAACTAGTGTGAGGTACCTACACAAAGGACCATCCTTGAGAGAAGTCTGAGTACCCCATGAGCTGTTATTGCTTCGCCCTTTGGCCTTTAAAGGAGTTTCTTGTCCACCCTTGTTATTTTACTTTATTAATGCATTGGAGACACTGCACTCTTTTATGTGTGGGGTGAAAGATTCTCTGTGTTTTGTATATTATTATAATAGCATATTGTTAGTTTATTATCTTTTATTGTTAGCTAGCTTTTTATTTTTAATTGCATAGTTAGTAGAATTAATGGTGTAGTATAGTAGTAGTGATTTTAGTAGTGCTCGAATATAGAGTAATTTATTAGTTGACTCGAGGGTGAGCAACATTTAAGTATGGGGTGTTAATATTCGACTTAAAGTATGTGTATTTATATGCATGCCGCCTCGTATTTTACTAGTATTTGCTGGAATTGGGATGTATAATGTAATGATTTGTGCTAATTAGTGGTATTTTTATATGTAGGAATCATCTAGAGTAAATTTGGGACGGTGCATAAATTAAAGCGAAAAGGGAAGAAACGAGAATCGCAAAACCTATGGCGCAGTTTCTAAATGTCCACAATTTCCAGCGCCAAGGCTAGCGCCCCACTCTACCCAGGCCGTTGGTACGGGAACTTGTCCTATTTCGCCCAGGACTTGGTTATTTCCACTCAAGACGGCCCCAACTCTTATCAAAGGGGTCCTAAACCTATTTTGGAGAGAGGAGGACGTTTTTTAGAGGAACTTTTGACCAAGAAAAAGCATAGAGCCACCGTGGAGGCCGGAATTCATCTTTTTTTCCACCAAACTTAGCAATTTCTATGTTTCTTTTTATGAATTGTTATTTTGCTACCATGTCTCTGTGAAACTAAACTTAAAGTTCTAGGGTTGTGGTTGTTTCATATCTATCGTTATTCGGATGTTTATTTTGATTTCATGATTTATCGTATTAGTTTATTTATTCAATCATGTGCTTAATTATTTGATTGTTTGATCATCAATTAAATATTATCTACGAATCTAAAGTTGAACTCGAAAGTGGGAATTCTAGATTGCACATAGGATTGAGTAGAGCAAGTTCTTGAGCCCGGACATCGGGGAATGGATTCGCGGTTAGGATTGACATATACTAATTGCCTTTCTTCGTTATTATACGAGAATTTTAAATGCATTCTTGTTGATTCTAACTTTATAGACATATAGGTGTTGGGTTAGCTTGAATAGGCGAGTAAGGGATCGACAGATTCTTATATGAGTCAATTCAATTGGAGAATGCAATATGATTGTTAGATAGCCCATAACCCTAGATCGTTATCATCACATCGATAACATAAAAATCTGCACTTCTTTTGTTCAGAGTTCATTATTTGTTTTCTTTTTATTTTTATTAGATTAGAATCAAATACTTCTAGGTTCAATTCATGTTTAGATAATTAGGATAGTCTAATTTAGCTAAAAGTTAATCACAAGTCCTCGTGGGTTCGACACCCGACTTCTAATCACTTTATTACTTGACGACCGCGTATACTTGCGTGTGCGTTTGACCGCAATACCATCTGTTTTAAGAAAATAGCTTCAGTAGCTAAACTTTTAACAGTGTAATGTTCAACACATACACAGCTTCACAAAAAGAACGGAACAACCTATAAAACTTCAGGAAATAAGTATCTGAAGTTGGCCTCTGAAAGAGCTTAACTTCATAAATCACAGAACACCCCTATGAAACTTCACAAAAATAAGTATCTGAAGTTGGCCTCTAAAAGAGCTTAACTTCACAATATTTCATGATACTTCATTAACTTCATTACAGTTCCACAAAAATCATAGAAACAATTACCAAAAGAGTAGAAGCTTATATTTGCAACATGCATCAGAATCTAAAAAACGATTAAACCCTAAAAACTATATCACGACTAAGCAATGAAACACGATTCAACTAAACCTATACACGATAACATCAACAAATTAACCAAAACATGTACCGCATAATAGTAAAACAAATTAACCAAAAAATTGCTCCTCGATGAATAACCCACGATTACACATCACATAATAGGGGAAAAATGTGAAAACTAAAATCGTACCTGTACTTAATACTAACTCTTCTTGAAGAAGAACCAATGCACTAAAGATTCCCTAAGTAAAAAGATGAAAGAAACAAAAAATTCAACAACAAAACCGCTGAGAAATAACACAAAGAAGAGCGGAACATGCAAAGAAAGAGAGTGTACAGTTTAGTTTGAAGGAAACGCTTCTTTTAAGGGCGAAGGTTAAAACGCCCTTTTAAAACCATTTTAACAAAGCGTAGGTATATCTGCAAAAAATAAAACAAAGTGGGTACAGGTCCAAATAGGGCGCCCCATGGAATTTCAAAACCTATGCTATAATAAAGTCCACTTGTAAATTTTGTCATCTTTGCTTTAAGTTTACATACCTCATCCCAGACAATAAAATAGGACCATAAAACACGAGAATACATATAATTTGCCATCATTTTCTAATTATGTCCATAAAAATGAAAATTTGTGGTCAAATTCCAAACAACACATTCATAGTATCTCAGGAATAGGCTCATCTAAGCTGGTATAGAATCTAGAAACGATAGCGAAGGTATAATACTATACCAAAATACAGTGTTTTATGTACTATGATTAGTTATAAAGATAGTTACCAATTGTCAAACACGCTTTCATCCGACAACATAGCAAAGACTGCACAAAAGCGTCACTGATAGCTCTGCTTGACAACTGAATCTACAATGACTTCCAAAACTTCTGTTATTACGTTAGATAACAGAGATATGGATGAATACTTCAAATTTACCTCAGAAGATGTTTAAAATTCTATTAGAGAAGCAACCAAACAAATCGCTGGATAATGGTCTTTAGGAATAACTCTGCCAAAAAATTGATATATTCAATAACATGCAAAAGTAAAAAATTGCTTCCCCAGTATGCCATGGTAAATATCAGAACTCTGTTCAGTACTATGAATCAGGTTTTAATTAAATCTTGCAATAAAAAATAATACTCCTACTACCTTTTACTATTGATAAAATAGTGATGATCACTTTTTTTCAAGCCATCATAAGATTCACGCGAAAGCGAGCCAAAACCTGCATTTATAAATCAGCACTAACAATAATATCACAAGAAAAAAAGGAACTAACAGATGCCTAGGATCTATGGAAAGATGAAATCTGATTCACATATGGGCAAGAATTTTCTTGCTTCTCTGTTGCAGCCTTTGCTCATGAATCAAACTCAAAAACCAATCCCTACAAATATTTCAATATGATTACTCCACATGACTCGTGCATCTAGAGAACCAACTTAACTTTAAACAATACATGAAAGTCAACTAGTCATAAGAGAGTTATCGGAAGTACTGTAGAACCTGCTTAGAAACATGTCCAACCAAGTTTGTTCACTTCGTCAGTTATATGTGGAATAAGTGATAGCATAGCTTGTGTGGTATAAGTGACAATCTATCAATGAAACGCCACATGGCAGTTTCCTGAGCAAGAGCAAAAAGAATCTTAGGGAAAGCCAATCATTACCAAGAAGCAAGTAAGCGTTATATCCCATCAGATCGCTATCACCAGATCAAAGCACATAAGAAATGCAACAAAGGGAAGAAGAGAGATAATACAATATGAAAATCACCAGTTTAGGGCATCATTATGGCTACTGGTTATATACCAAGGCAAAAGCATTATCCACATTCTATTCACGCTTCATACCAAGTGTATTGAATATAATTATTACTAAACACCTACTACTTACTGAAAGCCATAGAGCTCATTCTATTTTGTATATAAAGTAAACGTTAATACCTTTGGAAGTTCAAAGTATAACAACTGAAAGCCAGGAACTTCAAGAATACTCACGCAGCAACCAAAACAAAATCTTGACCTCTTAGTGATGTTAGAATATAAAAATTATGTCAGTAAGTTGACAACACTTGCTAGTACCAGAATATAGAAAGCAAATTCAGTCGAAACATCTTACCCTCTTCACTGATTTGCTGAGACTGCCAATTCGAGCGAACACTCAGGAGGTCTATAGGGGAGAGTTGAGGCATGTTTTACTTTAAGAATCAACAAAATCTAGGTAAGAACATCACACTGGGGTCCAAAACCAATAAACAATTGCTTCCATCTTGTGCTCTAAGGATCACATATCTACCAGTTGATTCAACAAAGCAGTAACAAACATAAATACAAACTCGGATGCTACTTAACAACAGAGAAAAGACATTATCCCCCAGTTAATCACTATAATTGGCGTCATAACGTCAGTGAACTCATACACAAACATAATTTAAGGAATTCAAGTACCCTATGTCTTAACAAGGACCAAGCGTTATCAATAACAAGTCAGGCACTTCAATACTTCTGCATTTGGCTAGAAATAGATATGGGCATGAAATACATTATATCAGAAGGTAATTTTACATCATTAGCCTCCATCCACTTCCCCAACAGAATATCATTCTTATTGACTATACTTCAAAATAACAAGCAAGCATCCACAGGTAGTCAATGATACAGGTATAATCTACTTTCTGTCAATGAAAAATGAACAGGAATTCAATAAGAAACAAAGTCAAATAATAGTTGGAGAAGCCTCTGTTACAAAAATATGCTCAAAAAGGGAATCCTTTGCACAAATGTTTCTTGGAGGATTCTGCCAACCTTCTAACACATTTAACGCTTCTGTAGTACTCCATCAGTTCACGAGCCACGTCCTCCGGATGGCAACTTATAAAGGCCTTGATGAAGCGCTTTTCGGTCATCCTCATTGCTCTTAACAAAGAAGGACCCTTCACACGAGGAAGCAGACCCATATCCTCATTGCTCTTAACAAAGAAGGACCCTTCACACGAGGAAGCAGACCCATATCATCTATCTTCCCCCCTAAAAAGTACCTTGGCTTTATGGCGGTCTCCAAATTCAAGAAAAGCAAACATGGGTTATCAAGAACCAAACTGGCAGAAAGCTTCATTGTACCCAATATAAATGTCATGTTCCTCTGAACCTTATCAACAGATAATGTTAACAGAAAAGGAGACCGTCCAAAAAGCCTAAAAACCTCATCATCAGTAAACCCATGTTTCTCCAAATTAGCCACCTTCTGTCGGATAGTCTCCGACCGTGAAATAGCAAACAGGGTAATCACATGTTTAAACATCCTAGTACCCTTTTCAACACCGGTTCTTCGAAAGTAATCCATCTTCTCATCATCCAAAGAACTTCTTGGTATGAGAGTTGGTCGGGCTAAAAGCATGGAAATTAAATCACTTCTGCTAAGACCCAATTGCTCATAAAATGCAACGGTTGGTTTAATCTGTTTGTGGAAGTCATAAGTAAGCAACGATGGATTTCTCACAATGGCCTTGAGAAGAACTTGTTTGGTACCAAACAAAGTCTGGAAAACTCAAGGCGCTCTTCTAAGCAACGATTGATGCGACAATTAAGGAAACGAGGACGACAGTTAAGAATCTTGGTAAGGTCAGAGGATTCAATACCTAAATCGCTGAGTATTTTGAGCTTCGATTGAAGGTTTTTGTGTTCCATTTTGCGCAAAGATGGGCGGCGCTGAAAAATCTTGGAAATGTCATCAGCGGTGCAGCCCCATTGCCTTAACAAATCTGATGGGTCTGTTGAAGGAGTACTGAGGCTTTCTCTTTGGTCTTCTAGGGTTTCAGGATAAGGCAAAGCAGCTACGGAGAGGAATCTGGCAGGGTTTAAGGAAAGAAAGGCTTGAGAATTGGAGAATAGGAAACCGAATTGGATAAAAGCATTGAAATTACCTTTCATTATTAGGGCAGAGACAGCAAAATTGATTTTGTAAGAATTTACTTCCCTCTTTTTGGGTATATTTGGCTCTAGCCTTGTGGCCTTCACAGAGTTGAGAGCCGCTGGCTAGCTAGCAAAAGGAAGATCAGTGAGAACCGACTCCTTTTTCCATTTTTAGTACTTTGTGAGGCCATGTTAGTGATATCGAAGTATGATCTAAAGCTATACTCGAATTTCGGGTTACAATTGAACTTATATCTATTTTACAAAAAAAATTACAAGTGCACTCACTTTACTGTCAACTTCAGACTTATTAAATTTGGAGTTCAAAAAAATTAGTTTGAAGTAAAAAAAATTAGACTTAAGATGCACTTAAGGCCAAATAGGTCTAATATGCAACAAATGATTTCACGCACTTAAGGCCAATAAGTCTGAAATAAAATATTATATTTCAGATGCACATAACGTTAAAGGGTCTGAAGTGCAACGAACGTTTTTCAATACATTAAGGCCAATAAGTTTGAAGTGAAAATTTTCACTTCAGATGCACTTAAGGCCAAATAGATCTGAAGTGTAACCAGTTTCATGCACTTAAGGCCAATAAGTCTGAAGTGAAAATTGCACTTCAGATGCACTTAAGGCCAAAGGGTCTAAAGTGCAACGAAATTTTTCCTACACTTAAAGCCAATAAGTCTGAAGTGAAAAAATTTTCACTTCAGATGCACTTAAGGCCAAATAGGATTAAAATGCAACAAATGATTTTATGCACGTAAGGCCAATAAGTCTGAAGTGAAAAATTACACTTCAGATGCACTTAAGGCCAAAGAGTCTGAAGTGCAACAAATATTTTTCTACACTTAAGGCCAAGAAGTCTTAAGTAAAAAATTGCATTTTAGATGCACTTAAGGCCAAATAGGTCTGAAATGCAACCAATGATTTTATGCAGTCAATAAGTCTGAAGTGAAAAATTACAATTTAGATGCACTTAAAGCCAAAAGGTCTAAAGTGCAATAAATGTTTTCCTACACTTAAGGCTAATAAGTGTGAAGTGAAAAATACACTTTAGATGCACTTAAGGTCAAAAGGTCTGAACTGCAACCAACGTTTTCATGTACTTGAGACCAAATAGGCCTAAAGTGCAAACTTCCTAAAAATAGAAATTTGTACTTCAAATATATTCAAAAATATCATATAAAATCATTCTTACCCGAAAAAGAAGAAGAAGAAGACGACGAAGAAGAAAGAGGAGAAAAATGTCTGAAGTTATTTAAATAGTGGGTACAAGTTAAACAAAATTAAAAAGTAGGTATATGTTAAATGAAGGAGACCAAATAGGGGGCCCCTTGCTATTTTACTCTAACTTATCATACGATTTAACATAATTATTATTGTCCCCTTATCTATCCAATAATAAAAGTTTTATGTAATTAAATTAAACAACTCATATAATCTTCAAATAATTTATTTGATGATAGTTAAGCAACTCGTGACAATGCCTATACGTCGTACCCAACAATTAACACATAGCAAATAGGACACGACTCCTAATCTCTCAAGCTAAGGTTAGACCAAACACTTACCTCGATGCCACGAACACAATTCAAGCCTCAACTATCGCTTTACCTCTTGATTCCAACACCAATTCGCTTGTATCTAGCCACAAGTTACTTAACTATATCAATAAATGCTAAATGAATCATTTCTAATGCATGAAAATAGATTTTCTAAAAATTTTCCTAAAAAGTCAAAAATCGACTCCGGGCCCACATGGTCAAAACCCGAGATTCGAACCAAAACCCGATCACCCATTCACCCACGAACTCAAATATATAATTTATTTTGAAATCGGACCTCAAATCGAGGTCCAAATTCCCAAAATTTAAAAAACCTAGGTTCCACCCAGAACACCCAATTTCCCCCATGAAAACCTTTGATTTGAGTCGAAATCATGAGAAAAGATGTTAAAGATTAATAAAAACAAGTTAGAAATGACTTACAATCGATTTGGAAGAGTACTTGTCTTTGAAAAATCGCCCAAGAGTGTTTTGGTTTTGAAAGGGTTTGAAAAATGGTTGAAATGCGTCTAAGTTATGATTTTGCAGGTTGCAGATGTCGCAATTGCGACCAGGGTTCGCAATTGTGAAACCCTTCAGAACCTGTCAACTTCGCAATTGCGAAGATAATTGTCGCATTTGTGACACAGTGCAAATTCAGGTCACCTTCGCATTTGCGAGGGAACCTTCGCAAATGCGATATCGTATTTGCGATGAAGGAGTCGCATTTGCGACCAAGGTAGCCCAGACCATATTTCGCATTTGCGATGCATTTTCCGCATTTGCGAGCCAGGCTTCGCAATTGCGAAACCTGCAGGCCTGCAACATACCAACAATTTCCTAAGTGCAAATTTCACTCTGTGGCCTATCCAAAACTCACCCGAGCCCTCGGGGCTCCAAACCAAACATGCACGTTAGTCCAAAAATATCATACAGACTTGCTCATGCGATCAATTCATCAAATAACATAAATAACTACGAATTAAGCCTCAAATTCATGAAATCACTTAAGAACATCAAATTTTCCAATTTTCTCAAATAAGGTCCGATTCACGTCATTTCAAGTCCATTTCTTACAAAATTTTACAGGCTCAACTTAAATCACATATAAGACCTGTACCGGGCTCCGGAACTAAAATACGGGTCCGATACCATCAAATTTCAAACACATTTCATTTCCAAAAACTAATATATTTTCCAGAAAATAATTTTCTTTAAAAATTTATTTCTCGGGTTTAGGACCTCGGAATTCGATTCCGGACATACGTCCAAGTCCAATATTTTCCTACGGACCCTCCGGGGCCGTCAAATCACGGGTCCAGGTCCGTTTGCCCAAAATGTTGACCAAATTCAACCTAAATTCATTTTAAAAGCAAAAATTATAATTTTTCACAGATTTTCACATAATGGCTTTCCGGATACTCGCCCGGACTGCGCACGCAAATCTAGGTGAGACAAAAAGGAGGTTTTAAGGACTCGCAACACAGAATTTATTTATAAAACAAGTCATCACACCGTCCACCTCTAAAACAACCGTTCGTCCTCGAACAGACATAAGAAAGAAGTGCCTGAGTCGGAGAAAAGATGGGGATAACGGCTCCGCATGTGGGACACGGACTCCCAGGTCGATGCCTCAGCAGGCTGACCTCTCCACTGAACACGAACAGAAGAGAAACTCTTCGATCTCAACTGACGAACCTGCCGGTCTAGAATAGCTACCGGCTCCTCCTCATAGGACAGATCCTTGTCCAACTGGACAGTGCTAAGGTCTAACACGTGGGATGGATCGCCGTGATACTTCTGAAGTATGGACACATGAAACGCTGGATGCACGGCTGATAAACTCGGCGGCAACGCAAGTCTGTAAGCCACCTCTCCCACTCGATCAAGAATCTCAAATGGGCCAATGAACCTAGGGCTAAGCTTGCCCCTCTTCCCAAATCTCATCACGCCTTTTATAGGCAACACCCGAAGCAATACCGGCTCACCGACCATGAATGCCAAATCACAAACCATACGGTCGGCATAACTCTTTTGCCTGGACTAAGCTGTACGAAGCCTATCCTGAATGATCCTGACTTTGTCCAAGCATCCTGCACTTAGATCCGTACCCAACAACCGAGCCTCTCCCTGCTCAAACCATCCAACCGGCGACCGACACCGCCTACCATACAAAGCCTCATAAGGAGCCATCTGGATACTCGACTGGTAGTTGTTGTTGTAGGCAAACTCCGCGAAAAGCAAAAACTGATCCCACGAGCCTCCAAAGTCAATAACACAAGCCCGAAGCATATCCTCCAAAATCTGAATAGTGCGCTCGGACTGCCCATCTGTCTGAGGATGAAATGCTGTGCTCAGCTCAACCGGTGTGCCCAAATCCCGCTGAATTGCTCTTCAGAAATGTGAGGTAAACTGCGTACCTCGGTCCGAAATGGTAGACACGGGCACACCATGAAGGCGAACAATCTCCCGGATATAGATCTCAACTAACCTCTTGGAAGAATAGGAGACTGCCACAGGAATGAAATGTGCTGACTTGGTCAGCCTATCAACAATAACCCACACTGCATCGAACTTCCTTTGAGTCAGTGGGAGTCCAACAACAAAGTCCATAGTGATACGCTCTCACTTCCACTCACGAATCTCAATCTTCTAGAACAGACCGCTAGGTCTCTAATGCTCGTACTTAATCCGCTGACAATTCAAACACAGAGCCACATATGCAACAATGTCCTTCTTCATTCTCCTCCACCAATAATGTTGCCGCAAATTCTGATACATCTTGGCGGCGCCCGGATGAATAGAGTACCGGGAACTATGGGCCTCCTCTAAAATCAACTCCCGGAGTCCATCCATATTAGGCACACAAACTCGACCCTGCAGCCTCAAAACTCCATCATCTCCTAATGTAACCTGCTTGGCACCTCCGTGTTGCACCGTATCTCTAAGGACACATAAATGAGGATCATCATACTGCCGATCTCGGATACGCTCCAATAAGGAAGAACGAGCAACCGTGCAAGCTAATACACAGCTGGGCTCAGAAACATCCAACCTCACGAACTGATTGGCCAAAGCTTGAATATCTAAAGTAAGCGGTCTATCACCGACCGGAATATACGCAAGACTGCCCATACTTGCTGACTTCCTACTCAAAGCATCGGCCACCACATTGGCCTTTCCCGGATGATATAAGATGGTGATATCATAGTCTTTTAACAGCTCCAACCACCATCTCTGCCTCAAATTTAGCTCCTTCTGCTTGAACAAGTATTGCAAACTCTTGTGATCCGTGAACATCTCACATGCCATGCCATACAGATAATGCCTCCAAATCTTCAACGCGTGAACAATGGCTGCTAACTCCAAATCATGGACTGGATAGTTCTTCTCATGAATCTTCAAATTTACGCGAAGCATAAGCAATGACCTTGCCATCCTGCATCAACACCGCACCAAGTCTAATACGAGATGCATCATAATAAACTGTATATGACCCTGAACTTGTGGGCAAAACCAACACTGGCGCCGTAGTCAAAGCTGTCTTGAGCTTCTGAAAACTCGCCTCACACTCGTCCGACCACCTAAACTGAGCACCCTTTTGGGTCAACCTGGTCATCGGGGCTGCGATAGATGAAAACCCCTTCACAAACCGATGGTAATAGCCCGCCAATCCTAAGAAACTCCGTATCTCTGTAGCTGATGCTGGCTAGGCCAGTTCTTGACTGCCTCTAATTTCTTTGGATCCACCTGATACCCTCTGCTAAAACAACATGACCCAAGAAAGCAACTGAAATCAACCAGAACTCACACTTCGAAAACTTAGCATACAACTGACTATCTCTCAGAGTCTGAAGAACCATTCTCAGATGCTGCTCATGCTCCTCCCGGCTGCGGGAATAAATCAAAATATCATCAATGAAGACTATCACGAACGAATCCAAGTAAGGCCTGAACACTCGGTTCTTCAAATCCATGAAAGCTGCTAAGGCATTGGTCAATCCAAATGACATCACCAAGAACTCATAATGCCCGTAGCGAGTGCGGAAAGCTGTCTTAGGGACATCGGATGCCCTAATCCTCAACTGATGGTAGCCAGATCTCAAGTCGATCTTAGAAAATACTTGGGCACCCTGAAGCTGGTCAAACAAATCATCAATCCTCGGCAATGGATACTTATTCTTAATTGTGACCTTGTTCAACTGCCGGTAATCTATACACATCCTCATCGATCCGTCCTTCTTCTTTACAAACAACATTGGTGCACCCCATGGCGAGACACTGGGCCTAATGTCAATCTAATAAAGATAACGAGGTAATATCAACAGCAGAGAGAAATAAAAATGCAAACAGTAGGAAAAATAAAGGGAGAATACGGGTATAACAAACGATACCAAGTAAATCAGATAAACAAGTAAATCAGGTAACCGAGCACATCAGATAACCAAGTAAATCAACAC